AACTTGACCTTTGGTCTCGTGGAAAAATCTAGCAATGATGCATCTGAAGATCATTTTTCCATCTGCCTGCCATCCGTGGGTCCTGACGCTAGACTCTTTCCTCTTGCTCGCGTGGAGGTGTTTGAATGTTCTGCGCCCTCTAGCGTCTCACACCACCGCACCTCCTCCGCACGAGCATGGCTTCTCTTTGAATGGTGAAATTCGCCTGGGAGGCAGCACCTCTCCCCTCATGATCCAAAGTTGGTATGTGTTTATTTGGTAGATTCACGCTGCGCAAACTTGCTGGATCAATGCAGATATTTCTTGGCAGGTAGCGATTGACTCGTACGAACGAATGGCAGAGCTGATGCAGGCATCCATACGCACGTAGAATCTTCCGGCATCACTGCTGCGGATGTGCTATGATATGCGTATGTTCAGGCAAGCCCCGAGGCCCGTGCAAAAGTGACTCCGCAAATGTGGAACAACCTTGGCCGGGCGCTCATGCTTTCCGGAGCAGTGTCAAGTTTGGTGACCTCATTTGCCGTGCTGCAAAGCTTCTGCGGTAGGAGGGTCGGATATCCATGGCTCATGGCAGGAACAGTCTGCAGACTTGTGAAGTGTTGTTGCGGCTGAGACCTCTCCTCAGCAACCTTGGACTCAAAGTAGTGTTGATGATGTTGAGGCACGATGAGGGCTATGCATGGGGATCCAGCCGATGCCAAAGAGGCGGGCCTCTTTTGCGACACATGTCAAGACGCTCTGAGAGTCGTACGTTAAGGCATATGATAGCGGCATGGAGCGCGTCGAGTCCCTGCAGCTGGACCCAGATGTCTAGCCCGATGCCGCCACCGCGATAGGGTGCACATGTTCCATGTCGAGGCAACAGCTTGGAGAGACTCAGGCTGGCCAGTCCGAGAAGGTAGTTGCAATCGGTGCACCGGCATGCTCTTAAGTCTGTGCGCGAGCAAGGACCTGCGTGTGGCCGAGCTCACTATGCGTTTCAACAAGGCCTGGCTGGCACAAAGCCAGCCGCAAGAAGGCGAGATGCAGGAGGCAAGGGGGATATCCTGCGTTGTTCACAAATCACAGGGCAGACTGAAGTTCTGCTGAGTTTTACTCGTGAACGCTTCCAGAGTATATGGTGCGGGCCGGGCTCGCCCCCGCCGCCACCGCCACCGCCATCACAGCCTCGCGAGCCCGCCAGGAAGACTGTGCTGCGATCTCACCCCACTGGTCCCCAACCCGAAGCCGAAACGGCCGCGTTCAAATTGGCTCTCCAGTTCGGTATTATCAACCCTCTTCTCGGACATTAACGCAGACCTCAACAGCCGATGGGTTTATTGCTTTTAAGATCTCATTTGCAGCGGCCATGCTGCGAATGCATTCCATGTATCTCATGCCATAGAAACGTGTTGTCCGCTCTCGAATATAGGTATAGTGAATTCACAAGCGTGTGGCGAAGCAAAAGCAGCCTTGAAGTGCTTTCCTCGACCAGTTTTGGTTGTGGTGCTGTGAAAGACATCTGCATCTACTTCACGGACAGATGTTCCGACACCAGCACCGAGATCTCAAACATCTCGGGTATTTAATGATAACGGTGGCGACAATCTGCCTGTTTCGCGAGGCGGAGGGCAAACTTTTGGACCAACATTTGCAGGAAGCTCTGCATATCCGTATCACTATGTACGCCACTAGGCATCATGAATGTGAAATTTCAGATTGCCTGCTCAAAGAAGATCCGACAGAGCCTCGTCGAATAGCTGGCGTGCTGAGCTGGTCCAGCGCGAAATCCAAGTACTGTAGGTGTTGGTGTATGGGTGCAGCGTGTCTCGATACGAAACCCATAACCACTGAGACTTTGGGCTTTGGGTCAGCATGATCCTTGCGCGTAACCAGCAAATGCCCTGCGCGAGTTGTGGGTGTCTTGATGCCAGCAGTGCTCGTCCCCATTCTCGGCTTTGTAGAACCATTTGAATCTGACGCTCACGACTCTTTCGTTACGTTGATAATTCCATGTACATGATTCAGATGGCGCTTTGAGATTTCCCTTTTGTCACCAGCCGTTGCAGATTGCCAGGCGGTTCGATTGTATTTGGCGCTGACGGAAGAGGTGAAATGGTTTGCCGATGCTTTCCTGCAGCTTGGAGGGCTATGGTTTGCGCCTCAGAATCGGGAAGTTGCCAGACACATTCTGGCACATTGCAAGCTTAGGCAGCGTGTGGGCAAGAAAGAAGAGGCTTTGAGAAATTTTCAGCAGGTGCGAAGCCATCGCTTTCGGTTATCGTCCGTTGGCCGCAGAGCCCCAGAGAGGCGATCAAGTACAGCCCCTTTCTGGGCAAGCTTCTCTGTTCTGAGGCCAAGATCTTGGCCGGTGGCTGCATGTCTTGACAACTCTGCTGGCAGGCACTCCGTGCATCAGGCAAATACGAAGAAGCACTCAAGTGGGGTGAGAAGGCGGTCGCAGACCTAGCACTGGCGCATAGCAGCACCATGGACTCTATCTGCGTCGTTTGTCATCATGGCTCAGGCAAGGGGGGCGCAAGCCAACGAGTTTCAGTATGCCCACGTCTTTGTCGGCAATCTTTGCTACGAGGCGAGTCCGACTCAGGTGCTGTGTGGCCCATTGGCGGATCTGGCAGGCTTCAACTCATCACAAGACACCACCACAGATGAGCGATTCCTACTTGAGGAAGGCTGGTGGAACTTAATCGCACCAGCAGCCTGCGACTTCTCCAACACTGTATGGAGGCGATGGAATATTACACCAAAGCGCTGGCTGCCAATAAGGTCTTCCTGTTAATACTGCAGTGCAGCCCAGCCATGCTGTGGAAGTGAACGAAGCCCTGCAGGACTGCCAGTTTGCAGCCAACGGAATTGGCATGGTTTTCGCAAAGCGTGGAAAGATGGTGAGAAGCTCAGTTCTCGGCTGCCGGCCAGGATCCATCTCGTACATGATAGAATTTCAGCCGTGTGTTTGTAGCGCTTTCTGGTACTAGTTGGCAGCTGCTGAAGGGACGATTCCTTCGGTGTCTGCTGTCTTCCAGAGTCCGCGTGTACCGTGAGTTGGATCTGAGCTTTCGGTTACCAGTTTTGGCAGTGGTGTACGACTCATCTTGGTTCACCTGTGGATTTGGAGCAGCACACACACACTCTCTGGTCGTCATGTCCGCCAGCGGACTAGCCCGGCGAGATGGTTCGTGAACCCGCACACAGCTCACGGTTCATCTTATCCTGACACATTTGGAAGCTATCGCATGCTGTCACCTCGCCAAATGCTTTGTTTGGTTCTGAAACATGCTTGTCGGGACATCTGGGACATGATGTGGGGGCACAGTCAGCCTTTTCAGGTTGCTGCTCGCTTTCATGCCCACACTCCTGCCAAACCGATGCCAGAGCTGCATCATGTGGGCTCAAGTTTTAATTGCTGAACATCCCCCGGGCAACACGTGTAAACAAGAACTGCAGTGTCGGCAGTGACCTCTTGATCAACGAGCGAGTTTCATCAAATGCAGAGCCCCGAAAGGACACGAAGGCTGTGTTCTTGCAGCAAAGCTAATATGAACCGGGAATCAGAATTAGTCTGACGAATCACTATCTTCAGGAGGCATTGGGTTTAGTCATCAGCAGCAGCAGCAGATACATATTGATCGGCCAGGGCAGGTTCTCTTCCTGTGTCGCATGGTACTGTCGTTTGAGTGTTGAAGTGAGCAGATGCGCTCATTAGAGTTAAACCAGCCCTCAATTTTGACTTTGCAAGGACATTGCCAAGCAGTTCCTCGAGAGCGTGATGAACCACCAGGCGACAAGCTCTTGCTTTCCAGGGGTAGCAGGATGCAAGTTCTGTCCAGTGCACTGATCCGCAGACTTAGACGGACTGTAGTAGCGCTTGCAATGGTGATCATCAGGCCTGCTATTAGCCTCTTGGTTGTTCGCCTTCAGGATGCTCGGGTCATAGTATGGGATTGATCAGCTAAGCTCGAGAGAGAAAGACAGCGGAGAACCAGAGACCTTTCTTGAAGCTGCAAGCCCACTCATCTCAGATGTAGGGTCACCATTACACAACCACAAGGCTTTACAACATCCGAAGTGGAAATGGCTATTGCCGCTGTAGTGGGCTGCCACCACTGCTTCGACTACAACGACGACGGCTAGTGTCGCTGCTGCTTGTGAACTCCCCAACCTATTGCCCAGATCTTTAGCACCGCATCAGCTCTGTGACTGCAAAGACGGGAGTTCGATGCCATGCCGTCTTGCTTGCCGAACTGTATCTACCATAGGCGCCTTGGGTCGAGATAAACGGCGAAAGTAGTTTCACCAGCAGTATGTTACGCAGACATTGCACTGCTCCTCCTCACGCTGCTCTTGCTGCTGCGGCTGCCACTGCTGCTGCCACTCCTACGGTAACTGCTGCCTCTAATTATACTACCACCACGACGACGACGGCCACCACGACAACAACTAGCAGTAGTACCACTTGCACTACTGCTTCTCCTCCCACGCCTCCTCCTCCCCCTACTAGTACTCATGGTAGCAGCAGCAGTATCAGGAGCAGTAGCAGGAGCAGGAGGAGGAGGAGTAGGAGTAGGAGTATGTAGAAGCCTCGGTTGCTCCCAAGATTTAGCAAGCAAGTGAAATCATGGCGATCATACAAGCAGTGACTCCGAACGTGCGCCTCTGTGCAAAGCAGTTTCAGCTTTATGCGGTTGCTTCGATGCTTACCATGCTTTACATGCGGTTACGGCTTTGTGGGAAAAACTGCGGATTGGGGCTAGACTTGCTTTTGCCGATCACAAGGCAGCTTGCCTAGCAAGCTGGCTTCTGCCGGTCATGGTTTCTCGAGCACACAAGGTCTCCTCATGCCCTAGCGTCACCAAGGCTTCATGCGCTTTACAAACGTAAGGACGGGTGTCTAGGAGATCAACACCGCTCCTTGGCGGCAACTTCGCTGCCACATTCATTATGGCCAGTGACAGCCGGAGGTGGTGGAGCTGGAGGAAGATAAATTTCCTCTGCTTTGCTCCTTAGGCCACTCTTTCCTCAAAGTTCCAGACAAGTCTATTCCAGCCGTTTCCGCCACAGCGATCATCTCCTCCCGCTCCTTGTTTCCAGAGGTTTGTTGGGTCTCGTTGCAGGTAGTAGTTCAGCCTCATCTTCTTTGTCGGAAGCATGGATCACATCCGCACACTTTCATTGTGGGAGTGATAGCAGTCCTGCAAGTCTCTTCCTCAAACACTACTGAACCATTTCGCACGTCCCACGCGGGACTCAAATACGTTCCCTTCACCCAGTGCGGTAGAAATCATGTCAAACTCCATCACCATACCTCTTTTTCTTGATTGTCACTCTGTCCGGGTGGTCCTCCTCAGCTGGCCTCGACCTCGAAGACGGCGACGTGGCTGCCGGTTGTTCCGTCGTGGCAGAGGAAGTTGCTTCTGAGCCAGCGGTCATCGCCTTGTTGGAAACACCTGGCGCCAATGGGTTCGTCGGCTGCGAGTTGCTCCTCCCGTCTTCTCTTTGGTAGGGCAATCCTTTTTCAAGTGCGCCGTGCTCGAACGCTGTAGACATCTCTCGGCTTTTGACACCGAGCCCCAGTCGTGGGAGAACTGGCAATCACTGGATCTGCGGAATGCAGATGAAGATCGCTCAGGGCTGTGGTCCAGCAGACCAAAGGGCAGCAGACCCCCGCTTTGCAGGTCGAGGGAACGAGAACCTCGCAGTTATCTTGACTTGGTGTGCAAACGTCGCCAGTTTCGAGAGTCTTTCCGTGACAGGCAGACAGGCGGTGACGAGGCAAGTGGAGCTCGCTGATGCGAAAGCCAAGGAGTCCCACCCTGCAGAGATCCAGCAGTGTGAAGTTTTTGCGGATGCACTGATGTCGAAGCTCGTGGAAGTGGAGCAAGAGGATCTTGGTGTCACAATGCGGATAGAACAGTTGAAGCAACAACGTAACAAAGTTATCTTAGCAACGGCTCACGTGCACGGAGTCCGCCCATCTGTGAGGGCAGAGTTCGAACGTGTGCGGATACGGGGCCTCAGCAGCCTGCGTCCTCGAGCCAGTCACAGCCTGCGACTCCGAGGACATCTTGGGCGCCTTGACTGCTCAGCTCAACATTTTCTTGGAGAGATTGTGATGATCATCGGCTTCGTCTTCGCGGCCAGCTGAACAATTACAAGCTCAAGACCTCAGTGATGGTTCACCGACGAAGAGGTAGGCTGAAGCAGATCCTACAGAACGAAGGAGACGACATACCGAGAAGTGCTGGGCAGGGTGATGAGCTTTCGCTACTCGTGTTCACATGACTGGCGACAAGACAGGCCAATTTCCCAGCATTTTCCAATACTTCGCGGACATGATTGTATCCTTTGCACGGATGCACAGGACCCGAACATGCCCTTGCAAAACAAGAGCGCGACTGCATGGCCGTGTTAACTCCTGGATATACTACCACTACTACCACCACCACCACCACCACCACCAACTACTACTACTACTACTACTACTACTACTACTACTACAGCTACTACAACTACTGCTACGACTACGACTACGACTACTGCTACTACTGCTACTACTACGACCACGACGACGACGACTACTACTACTA